GAGAGAGAGAGAGAGAGAGAGAGAGAGAGAGAGAGAGAGAGAGAGAGAAAGGGAGAAAGAGCCATAATATTTAATACTTATTCAAATCAACCATGCTTATTAATAAACAAGATTTTATATAAAACAGTTATTTACATTAAGAATTCAGAATTACGTATCCAAATGCAATATATACAAAATGTCAAGGTAGAATAGTATATTCTTGAATAGTAACGATGACGAGTAAGAACCAAGACCTCAAAGCACAGAGACGGCCCGCCGCTAACGTAAACTGTCCTACAGAGGAATAATGGAACAGTCGGAGAAAAGAGCTGGAGAGAGCCGAAGCGCGTTGCTGGCGGCTGGCAGACAAAGATAAATAAACGAAGGAAACGGTGTTCGCGCGCAAAGGGAAGCAATATCCTTGTCTTTAGCCTTGCACGGGATTCGCTGGTTCGTAGCTGGACCGAGAGCTAATAGCGGCTGTGGTAAACAAGCCGCTTCTGCCACGGAAACATCGCGCGCTTCGCAGACTTTCCTCTTAATCCTCGCCGACTCCTCTTCTCCTGCCCTTCGCGGCATTTCCGCCATCGTACTCTATCTTCCGTTTGCTTCCATTCAAGCTTCGCTCACTCCGTCTCAGTCTACGTACCTTCCTCGCAACCCAGTCATCCTCCTGCTTCCACGACCATTTCCGTTTTCCTGCCAGCTTCTCGCGCCTCCATCCGTTTTCTCTCGTTCCGGGGATATCTAGTTTACTTCTTGAGTTTCTTCTGCCACAACGAAGCCACGCGATTCACCCGATGGTTTATAGCTCACTTTACTCGCCACGAAGTTATCTCGATTCGCTAGAGCTTCAAGTACATATACCTTTCTCAGATGAACGATCGCAAATATTGCACGTATGTTACCGCATTTATATTATCGCCTGTTATCTATTACTTCTTGCTATTTATTGCGGCCGATGACGTTAATAAACGATAAACAAAATATCACACTTGTACAAGCATTTTGGTCATTAATATTGAAGTCTCTCAAAAAAGTGTTTTATAATTTTACACGCCTAGTTAAGGATGTATCGAAGCAAGTTTCCTCGAGACGCACCATGAAGCATAGCGAGGTAATATAGGAACACACTAAAACATGTCTTTGTAGAATTATGCACACTCATTAGCACATTAATAAATATGCGAACACATTTTATACTGTCTAATGCTAGCAATTTTTTTTCGTTTAACGTTTAATATATGCAGACTCACTATCAATGGATGCTATCTTTAGCATATGGTAAGATGATCTTCGTATAAAATATTGCAAAATCATACAGTTGTCCAATATACAAAAATTAAAAGTATACATCTCTCTCTCTCTCTCTCTCTCTCTCTCTCTCTCTCTCTCTTCCCCCTTCCTCCTCTCTCCCTCTTCTCTGCAGCTAACAGTAGCGCTTTATCTCAATATAATCCTAGAATTTTCACAATATTATTGAGACATTTACTTTTTGTGTACGAGCAACTTGATTTTAGACTGTCTGGATACCTTATCAAGATTCGAAGTCTTTTTAAGAAATACTAGACTTTTATCCCTTATGTAATCAAATGTGAGTGTGAAACGCAGGAAAGCAATCTCTCAAGAAAGTCTGAAAGTCTACGCTATGTTCGAGCATTCAGACATTATCGTGATTGAACGTGCCAACGGTAGGGTTCGCCGAGTTGGAGGGTGAGAACTGAGTGATTTAGTGGGGTGGCTACTCGACGACTGACCGAGATAACCTGCCTGTCCACGGAACAACCCCATTTGTCCAATGTCTTCCGCTACAAAACTGCTACGGTGCCCTCTGGGTCTGCGTCCTTTTGAATAATGATAGCGCTTTGTCAACTAACGATCTGCCGATAATACCGGATATACATTAATACATTACACACGTACGGGAGAATATGCTAGCTCAATTCTATGTTTTGCAATATATGTTGTAATATTAATTATTTATTAACGTAGATAAATGAACTATATATTATTTGCAAGTTATACTCACTTGTATATGTAATTATTCATAAATAATTTATCTCATTGTACTTTGTATGCATAATATCATGTTACTTTCATGTTATATATATTTTGTGCATAATAATATTCTCAGAAATTTAAAATATTTTTAAGTAAAATACACATTGTATTTTCGGGACAGCACTCTGTCATGTGTAAATGGAATTCTGAACTGAATCCATTTACTTCGATCGACTTGAATTTCTTTACGCCGCCAGTAGTATCAATGATACCAGCTCTTCCATAAGATTCCGGTTACATAGCCCGCCTTGATCTTTACACTATATAAAAGAAACGTTTCTTCTTTTTCGTTTCCTCTCCGATAGATTTATTCCTATTGACACATATAGTTTCAGTTATCACTTATATCTTTTCCTATTCAAACATATACTGTTAGTATGTCATAACAAAGATATTAAAGAATGTGAACCCAATGCGAGGAAGAATGACAAAATATACCCTGCTGCATTACCAATTAACGATATACCTGGTCAATAATACGCATACACGCGTATGATGTGAAAGATAGACAAAAAGGATAAATATTTTATAAATTTATTTATAAATTTTGAGTAGATAATAAGAATGTGTACGGTATACTGTGCTTATAATACTGCACTTGAATAAAATGAAAGGACGAAATTCAAAATCAGGTGAGAAGAAATTCTAGGTACAAGAAGAAGAGCAAAATGGATCGAGGGAAAGAGATTGAAGAGAAGCAAGGTATAGGGGCAAGAGAACGAAGAACATCTCGAAGATGAAAGGCGATGGAGAGCAAAGCCGCGAGGACGAGCGAGGTGGGCCGTGAATTTATATCCTGGTCAGCCACTTGGAGCCATCAGCGGCTCGTTTGAAGTTCCACCGTGGCCGAGCAGACGTTATAAAGACAAACTATGCCTACGGCACCGTCATGCCCCACCACTTTATACCATAATTCTTCAAGCCGATCCACGAAACGGCCACTCGATCTCAACCGACGAGAGGAGAGACGTACTACATTCTCCCTACCGCGCTCTTTCTTTCTCTCTCTCCCTCTCCCCCCCCTCTCTCTCTCTCTCTCTTTCTCTCTCTTACCACACAGCTCGTCTACTTGTGCACGCCAATCCACGACATCGGCCCGTCTCTTTCTCTCTTATCCGACAGTCTTCAGCTCGCTTCCTTTACGGTTAGTGCCCGAGGGTAATAAAGATGGTTCTGCTTATGTACAACCGGCAACCGGAGGCGGAGCCAGGCTGCCCTCTGTGGGCAGGACTAACGCAAATGACTCTTCCATGCAAGATGGCGTAGGCATAGACCGCAGTGGTGTGGTGTCTGCAAGGTGCTTTTATATTTAGCATGCGACATGCAGAGAGACCGAGCACCGAATGCACCGCGTGCAGCAGTCGACCGCCTGGCGTCAGCCCCGATCGCCTGGCTACTACGCTCAACCATGTCCGCGATTTGACGACTACTTGAATGTCCTTTTCACTACCAGCTACCAATTTCGATGAGTAATGAATTGTGAGGTATTCAGTTTAGTTTACGTGTGTGTCGTTCCTTTTTGAGAGGAATTTCAGCGAGTGGGATGGTGTGAGGTAGTGTCACAGTACAGTA